AGTCTTTTAAGAAATTCACCACCATTAACATAAGATTTTTTTGCTGTCCTTTTACAAAAAGGCTTCTTGAGTTCTCATGGAAATCTTAACTTGTGAAATACTGTAGTGTTTTATTCTTAGTTTTCAGTTTAGCTCAGGGGTCTCCAAACTACATCCGGCCCACCTTGCCTTTTATCCGGCCCAGCAGGCGTGCCAGTGGAGGCGAGTGGACGTGTGTGCGGGAGTGCGGGCGGGTGGGACTGAGTGCACACTCAAAATTGTCAAGCATATATGATGTGGCTCTCCTGATGAAAAGTTTGGAGACCCCTGGCTTAGCTGGTTATAAACATCAACATTACATGTGTTACCCTTTTCTTCCATCCAGTGATGTTGGTTTTCCATAAGAATTAGGAAAAAGAGAGAGAGAGAGACAGTGAGAGAATCTGACAGGACTTACTTTTGAAAAAGCAAGCAAAGACAAAGAGATGTTAAATGGAAATAATTTGTTGTTTACAAACATCTGGAATGTTGCAGAGTCAAATATTTCTTTCCAAGCCATAAATGTAAAAATGAACAAAAATGCTTTGATGAAAGGAGGCTCAACTTGGAAAGCTAATGTTCTTTTCATGTGGTCATTGATCAGAAGAGCTTTGTTTTGCACTAAATCTGTCACTGGAAACGACAACTATGTTTTTTAAAAAATATATACCATTGGAGATCATATTTAGCCAATGATAAGCTTGCCCTTTGTGGATGTTTCCCTCCTGGTGTCAGAAATAAATTCAAGAAAGGTTGTGTAAATTCCCATGTAGCTGCATTCTGTTCTTGAAGGTAAAATAATCCTGAATATTTTGGGCTGACAAGATTGGCTGAAATTGAAAACCAGTCCTTGTAGCCCAGCATGGGCAAAGTTCAAGTTTTTAGATGTTGTCAGAGAGCAGCTCCCATTGGATCTAGCCAGTGTAATGTATGGTTAGGAAACCCAAATTAACTCAAGCCTGAAATGGCAGTTTTAATCAGGATGCCTCAGATCCATTTTACAGCAGCCCATTCTGGATGTCTGGATTGGTCTCCCTGAACTTGGAGGGAAAGCATACCAGCTCCACACAGGAATCCTGTGCAGGGCCTTAGATTCTACTGGTACTGAATATGGCCTGGCATTGTTACAAATGGAGATTTCTAGCTGTTGTATTGTCTTAAGCAATGTTCTAACACTGCACAACCTTGTGTTTATTCTACATCTTAAGCTCTTTGCAGTATGAGCTCCAACGGGAAATGCCTCTGAAGATGTACAAATATCCACCAGAACTGAAAGATCTGGTTAAGTGCCTTAATGAAAGACAAACGCTCTATGATGATACCCGTGCCAAAGTTGACAAGCTTCAGTAAGTTTGCATCCCATTTTTATGAACTGAGGAAGACAACATATACTGTGTTCTAGATACAAGCCACTTCCCAAGTTTACAGAGCAACGTTTATTAATTGGAAGCCCATACACATGGCCATGGTCTCTCTGTATAGTGTATGTACTTTTCTTGGCTGTACTGTTCATGTCTATAGCATTTCTTTCTGATATCACATAAAACACACACAAGCATATGTGTACTGCACATGTTCCTTTGGCAGATGTTAAGGAATGCCCCTCTTGGTGGTCCATGACCTTCAAATCGTTTTTTCTTTTTTCTTTTCTTTTTCTTCTTTATTTGCATGTGGTAGAGCTGGAAGAAAAAGACTAAAAACTGGGTTTTATCCTTTGGTTCTTATTTAGTAACACCATTGTTTATGTTTAACTGGATTTTAAAGTTGTCTGCATTGGTTTGCCATTGACCTTAATACCAGTATGTTGTTGTTCTTTCTCTCTCTCTCTCTCTTTTCTCCTCCTCAGTTGTTGTTTCGAGTGGAGTGTTAAGAAAGGTCAAAAAACTGTCCCCAAAAGTGGCAAATATGCATACAGTAGATACATGAGATGTGGTAGAAATGACAAGGGGAGACTATGGCTTTATCTCTCCCATTTGTTGGACCAGAGGAAGCTGCTTACACTTAAGTCAGGCCTCTGGTCCATATAGCCCAGCACTGGCAATACTGACTGGCAGCCGCTTCCCAGGTTTTGAAGCTGGAGTGTTTCCCAGCACTACTTGGGGTCCTACCAGTTGTGCCTGAAACCTTTTGCTTTCAAGACGTGGACTCTACCACTGGTATCTAGCAACTCCTCCCATTTCTGATGAAATGTGTAGATTTAGACTGCCTCCACAGAGCCAGGGAGACTAAATTTGATGTGATCCTATCTTGCACTTCCATAGGAGTGATCTGAAAGCTCCCTTGCAATTTGATAACTATCGTGCCAAGTTTTGCCTGCTCCTTTTCCTGGAGGAGATCCAAATGGAGGTAGACATCCACCGATATGATATGCATGATGTTTGTATGGTTCCCAATGGGAATCTCCTCGTTCTAAAGGTGAGCAAGAAACAACCTAGAACTTGTATTGTAATTGTGAGATCTGTGCATACCTGTTTTGGACTACAGCGTCTAGAATCCCCTAGGCAGCATGACCAGTTTGTTTGTTTGTTTGTTTGTTTGTTTGTTTGTTTGTTTGTTTGTTTGTTTGTTTGTTTGTTTATTTATTTATTTATTTATTTATTTATTCATTTGATTTATCCCCCGCCTATCTGGACCGATGGACCACTCTAGGTGGCTTCCAATATAAAATTAAACTCCGGATGTACACACTGTTATCTATATACAATTAGGGACTCTGCATTCTCACTCTCAGCCAAGCTCTCCACGCTGTTGTTCCAGATACAGTAATTATTAAGGACACACTGATAGAATGGGATAGCTGCGTTTCAAATCAGGTCTGTCCTTTGCTACAGGTGCCTGGTGTGGCAGAAAACCGCCCATCAGTACTGAAGGGTGACCACCTTTTTGCAACCTTGGCTGAAGAGCAAACACATCATCCAGTTGTTCAGTATAAGGGCTATGTTCATGCTGTGGAGTTGGACAAAGTCAAGCTGGGCTTCTGTGAAAGGTGAGTCTTCTGGTTTGTGATTTAGATTATACTTCCTAAAAATATTTTTAAGATTGTTAGTGCCATTGTATTTTGTGTATGTGTGTGTGTGGCGAGGTGGAGATTCATTAGTATGATAGGTTATTGTCATTTCTGCCTTGCCTTCAAGAAATATCCTTAGTTTAGGAGCTGACAGTCCAAGGTTGTAAGGATGTTGCTTGCATGGACGCACCATTCAATGGTCAAAGTTAATGCACTTGGTGCCAGACAAGCACATGTGAAAGAAGGAGGACAGGTCCCAGAGAAGTACAGTATAGGCTGAACTGGAAAGTGGGTTGGGAAGGCGCAATAGATGAAGGAGTAGAAGCAGTTTACTCAGGCACTTTCTTGGCGTAAGGCCTCTCCTTCAGTTTCAAGTAGAAACAATACTCCATGGATAGGAGGAAAAAAGACACTAAGAGGGAACTCCAGAAGCTCATACAGCTTACAAAAAAACAAAACACAAACCCAGAGAGAAGAGATAAAACATAAAAAGAGAAATGAAAGATATTGGAGAGAATGAAGATACAGCCACCACTGCCATCTTAGTCTTAGTCTTGGAATCCATTTCCAATTCCCAGTCGTTGTTTTTTAAAGAAAACATCAAGTTGGAGAATGGCTGAAGGAGACTGGGGATTGTCTTGAACAATAAGGGGAAAATGGGAAAATTTAAAAATGGAAATACGAGCAGTGTGAAAATATGCTCAATTAGTGGATTAGAGTGACTATTAGACCTGGCCTAAGTTTGAGAGATGGGACTATAGTAGCTCCCAGAAAGATAGATCAGGGAGGTTGTATGGGACCCAGTGCAGGAAAGAGTAAGCAAGTTGAAAGTAGAAAGGGTAATGCACATTTAGTAGCCTTTATGAGGAGGCTTTCAAAGTGCTTCCTTACACGTGTGTCCTTTTCTCAGACTGCAGTCTAAATTTATCAAAAACATGAAGTTCAATGTGACTTTCACCTTCAATCGCCTGCCATTACGTGTCCAGCATCGTGCTGCAGAGCTGGCCCAAGAGAGGCAGCTGCACCAACTGCTTTTCCCAACTTTGTCTTATGGGACATCCCTACTCTCAACTGGTCATGGCCTCAGGTGCGTGAGTGGGGTAGCACTGGGGGTAACTGCATAGTAGGCTAAATATGGGCAAAAGTCCCTTCCTGCCCTTGAGATGCTCTGAGGGGTAGCACTGGGGGTAACTGCATAGTAGGATGAGGCTAAATATGGGCAAAAGTCCCTTCTTGCCCTTGAGATGCTCTGACTAAGGTGTTGGAGCTGAGGTTCACATGGATGTATGGGATGAGGGAGCACTGACTGCGCTCAATGTCCACTGCGTTGCTACCTCTTTACTTTCTCCCTCTTTCCCCACACTCCAGCTTCTGTAACCGCAGCCTTGAGAAAAATGAGGAACAGAAGAGGGCTATCTACCAAGTGGTGTCAGGAGCTTCTAGACCAGCTCCTTACATTATATTTGGACCTCCAGGGACTGGCAAAACAGTCACCATGGTGGAGGCCATCAAGCAGGTGAGGAAAGTGTTTGATCAGTTAGCACAAAGGCACTGCATTTTGGGGGGCATTGAAGTTGTCTTGGAGTCTTAGGCAGGACTTGGAAAAATTACTGTGGTGGACCACAACTTCCCAGATCCCCAACCAGAGTAGCCACTATACTTTTGCTGCAGCTGTTCTTGTAAACCTGGAAGTGTGCGCTTTTGTTGGCTGATTATCACAATTTGTATCTGCACAGGTATTGCTCCACATTGAGGGGTCCCACGTGCTTGTCTGTGCTCCCTCCAATAGTGCTTGTGACCTGCTCTGCCAGCTTTTGAAGGAACACTTGGAAAAGAGGACCATCTACCGAATGAATGCAAGCAGTAGGGATTATAATGCAATTCCTGAAGATGTTAAGGTGTGTCCTGGTGTCTTCTTTCCAACCTACGCTTACTCTCTTGGCTTAAAGTTCTCTATTCTGATGTCTGGAGGTAGTAATGGGCTGGATGAAAACTAGTATGCTGAAACTGAAGTAATGTATCTTTAATGTAATGTCTCTGAAGCAATACCAGACTGTTTCATTGCTTCTGTTTTTAACAGTGGGTGATTTGAAGGATGCTTATATTTTGTACTTGATGTGTGTGTGTTTTAAGTTAATGGGCAGGTGGGGGAGGATCATGTGGAAGGTGGAAGTGTCCAAGGGCACTGAACAGATCTTGAAAGTTACGTTATGTTTGATGGGTCAAGTCAGCAGAGGCACTATGATAAATAGACATTTCCTGGACAGAGGAACTGTTCTGAAGTTACTGTTTATATATTATAGGTAAGGTAAAGGTTCCTATTGACATTTAGTCCAGTTGTGTCCGATGAGTGCATCCACCAAAGTAGTGAGCACCCCAACATCGAGATAGGACCGCAGCTGGGCTATCTGCCTAAGATGAAAAAAGGCAGCTCGGGTCCAGATGGAACCCCAAACTGCGGACCCCATCCTTGGCAAGAAGAGTCCCCCCCCAAAAGAGAGGGAGTTTCCCAGGCCCCCAACTGTGGGGGCGCCCACCCTCAGTACCTCCGTCTTGTCCGGGTTCAGCCTCAGCCCATTCTCCTGCATCCATTGCAGTACAGTCCCCAGGCAGCGCTGAAGGGATAGAACGGCATCTCCTGCGGTAGGTGGAAAGGAGATGTAGAGCTGAGTGGCATCAGCATACTGATGACACAGGGCTCCACACCCCCTGATGACCCCACCCAGCGGCCTCATATAGAAGTTGAACAGATAATCGACCCCTGTGGAACCCCACAATTGAGACTCCACAGGGCCGAAACGCTCTCCCCAAGCTGTACTTTCTGGGAGTGGTCTTCCAAGAAGGAACGGAGCCAGGCCAGTGCCAGGCCATCAATTCCCAACTCAGAGAGCCTCCCCAGGAGGATACCGTGGTCAATGGTATCAAAGGCCGCTGAGATGTCGAGGAGGACCAGCAGAGACACTTTGCCCCTGTTAGCCTCCCTCAATAGGTCATCACACAGGGCGACCAATGCCGTTTCTGTACCATGGCGCAGCCTGAAGCCTGACTGAAATGGATCCAGGGCATCTGTTTCATCCAGGTGCGCCTGGAGCTGGTCGGCCACCACCCTCTCAACTACCTTGCTTAGGAAAGAAACATTGGCGACGGGCCTATAGTTGCCAATTTCATCCGCCGCCAAACTGGGTTTCTTCCTAATGGACCTAATGAGTGTCTCCTTGAGGGCAGATGGAAATCTGCCCTCAAGGAAAGACCCATTAATTATTACAGTGGCCCATTCCGTTGTTGTAGGCCTGGCTGCTTTGATTGACAAGCAATGCACGCTCAATCCGTCATGCGGATTCGATCTTACAACTGCTGGTCTTCCGACCTTGCAGCACAGAGGCTTCTGCGGTTTAACCCACAGCACCACCACATCCCCTTATATATTATACATCCCATAGAACTTGCACTCTGAATAACTTTATTTAGAAGTATAAAAAGAACCAGTGCTTAATTTTCTGTGTGAGACTCTTTACACATATTCTGTGTGTTTAATGTCCCTTCTGCTTTCAAAACAATGAAGTTTTGTGGTTTTGTTATGACAATTCACTCTGTGTTCTGTTTTGTTATGAACTGGGGCAAGGCAAATGACATTATTAATTTTTTTGCTCTAATTATGCATACATACATTCATACTAGCTGAAATGCTGTTGTACAGTCACACAACTGATGTAACTTTTAAATCTAATTACCATTAGCTAACCTCCATAGACAATATGTGTTGCACAGAGTGATATGACTCAGTATGCAACAGATAATTTATGTGGAGTTCTCTTAATTTGCAGCAATTTACTCCTAAAGTTATTCTGTTTGTCTAACTACACAATAGGATTTCAGTCACAATATGTTTAATCAAATCATTTCTTACTTCCATAGGATTTCAGTCACAATATGTTTAATCATTTCTTACTTCTTCTGTGAGCAAAACAATTAATGGGACACCATTAAAATACTACCAAGAAAAGATCAAATTCCTATCCTCATTCATAATAAATCTATAAAGTTTTTGAAATGGTTGTATTTATTGTTTTTAACTCCCTTTGTTGGAAACATCAGAGAATAATATTAGTCAGTAACTAATTGAGACCCATCAGGGCAGTAGTCTGTTAGCACCTTATCTGATAACACAGATTCTCATGTCCTGTTAAGATAATTGGAGCAAGGAAGTTACTAGACAAAGTAGCTCCCAATCCAGACCTGTATCTGATCTCCACCTTTTGTTTTAGCCTTTCTGCAACTGGGATGCAACACGGAACTGCCCAGTTTATCCCAGCAAAGAGACACTGCAGAACTACCGTGTCATCATTACTACACTTGTGCCGGCGGGAAGGTATGAAATGTTGAGCACTGTGGAAGAATAACAAATAAGGAAAGGTTAGAAATAGGTGAAAGTTTTTCTGTGTGTATAGGGGGGATGCCATAGTCTTAGAAGAAAGTACTTTTTAATAAATAGGTTGAAATGGAAAGTGTTTGTTTCTGTTATTGCCACAAAATTGTGTACAATCACCTCCCTCCTATTTTTGTTCTCATTACTGTAGGAGGATATATTTTTTTAAAATGAAGAGGATGTTTCCACATTCCTTTTCACTGGATGATCATAGGCCATTCACTATCTCTTAGCTTAACCCACCAGCTATACCATGTAACCTGGAGTTTGAGTTTCAGAAACTTGTCCTGACAGAGACTCACAAGAGAGTGCAAGAGGAAAGGAATTAAAAATAGAAAAGGGCCATTCACTATCTCTTAGCTTAACCCACAAGGTATACCATGTAACCTGGAGTTTGAGTATTCAGAAACTTGTCCTGACAGAGATTCACAAGAGAGTGTGAGAGGAAAGGAATTAAAAATAGAAACATGGGAAAAGTGGGAATGTTGAACAGCAGTAGCAATAAATTGTTCCTAGGAAATACTGGATTTCCTCTTAATGAGAAAAGGGTAGAAATAGTAAAATCACTTTACAGGATCATTTTGAGAATGAAGATGGAGTAGAGGAGGGAACAAACTTTGCCCTGAACACCTTGGTAGAAGGATGGTATAAAAACACAAATGACCTTGGTGACAGGGAAGGAGTGTAACTTGCAGTAGCAGATTGCCCCTAATTAATGAGTCTCTGTTTGGAATCCTGGTTGCACACCAAGGTACCGAATTAATGTACAATGAGGAATCCAAGTGGGGACTTTTAAATTAGCAGCAATTTGCCACTATAAGTTGCATCATTTCTCTTTTGCCAGTATGACTAAATAACATGATTTGAGGCACTGAACAAATGAGAAGCAAGAGGGGAATGGCAGAGAGGTGAGAGGAAACAGGTGGTATGTTTCGTTCTACTGACTACCTTGATCCTATTTGTTACATTGAAAGGGAAGCTGTTTTTTCTATTTAGTGTTTTGGAGGCAGACATTTGGAATGATTGTGCTATAGCTGGGAAGTTGAATGTCCTTTCACAACCCTCACTTTCATGTCTGTTTTGGCTAGACTAGTCTCAGCTAAATTCCCACCAGGACATTTTTCTCATGTCTTCATTGATGAGAGTGGCTATGCTATTGAAACGGAGACTCTGATTGCTGTTGCAGGTGAGTAATGGCATGTACAGGCATATCTTGAAAAGACTTGATATTCCTGGGCAGAAACTTTAGAACATGATGTTGTTGTTTTTGATGGAACAGAATGCAAGCCCACTTAGTTTGCCTGATGGGCAGACATGGTGCATTGCGAGTACTGCCATCTTATGTACATACTTATATCACTGTGAGTGTTTATGTTTTGTGATTCCTAAAGTCTCAGGGTTTGCCTTAGATGGACCAGAAGTCCTTGGAAGGAAATCTTGCCCTGAGAAATGTTCTTCAGCATTTTAAAACATCATTTATTTTGTCTAGTTTTCTTATCTCGCTTGTTCTCATCACAAAATGTCGAGCTGCCTTTGTGTCAAAACACATTCCAAATAGTATCACTTCTCGGGACTGACTGTAATTGTTAAAGCGTTGAGCAAAGGGGGACGGGATTGCACAGCTCATATCTCTGCCTGCGGATCTGACTGAGTAACTGCTGAGGCATGTTGAGCCCTATCATTTCCCCCTCTAGGTATCCTAACCACTGTGGACCCAAATACTAATCCTAAAGGTGGGCAGCTGGTTTTGGCAGGGGACCCTCAGCAACTGGGACCAATCTTGCGTTCTCCTTTGGGTACTGAGCATGGATTGGGTGAGTGAGGAACAGGCAGTAGTGAAGAATTCCTTGGCATAGCTCTTGTATTTACATCTGGTGCAGGCAGATTATTTACTTTACCCTGATGGGAAAAGGGTAAAGTTATTGAATTCCACAGGTGGAAACAGCAGAATATCTGTATTTTTAATGTAGTCTGTGGGAATTTTCCCTGGAACCCCATTTCAGTCTAGCTTTTTAGGCTCAGCTGATGGTGGGCAGGTGGTGCAGTTGGTGTGGAAGACACATTCAACAGGGCAAATTGTTTCTACAAAGCTGGGCCTGGGTCAGCATTATTTTCAACTGGCCCTCCCTCTCAAATGTGGCATGCTCTATTTGGGTGGCACAACAACGTGCATCATCCCCAGCTAGTATGATCAATTACCAGTCTGCCTGGGGATAGTGAGAGTTGCAGTCCAGCTCTTTTGCAAGACACAGTTTTTAAGCACAGCAACAAAACTCTGAAATAAAGAAATATTGCTGGTTTGGTTCAGTCCGCTCTCTTTATGTGAGCACAATGCATGCAAATGGTTTTTTTACTTAGCACTATTTACGTTGTTCATGTTCTTAATGGTAGATGTGCTGTAGCATCTGCATATGAATGAATGAACAAATAAACAAATTTGCAAGCCACTACTCTAGAAGGTTTATAATGATATAAGCAAATCTCATCTGCCACACACACACCCAAATTGCCAAACAATCTCACAAAAACTATGATGAAAACAGCTGTAGAAATAATTATACACAACTAAAAAAAGAAATAAAACATTAACACTTGTGTTTATGGTTCTCTGAGAGACGGTTAGGAAAAGGCCAGATAAGAAGGCACACATTGATTTGCAAACTTTTCTTCTCTAGGGCTTTCCCTGTTAGAGCGGCTGATGCGACAGAACCCACTGTATCAAAAGAAGGACGGACGTTACAACCCACAGTGTATCACCAAGCTGCTGCGGAACTATAGGTAATCTGCTGTGCCTCAGAATTCCAGCAGATGGAGTGAGAGCAGTGCAATGTCCAGACTGAAACTGTGTTGTACAAGACAGGAAGGGGCAAATTCATGTTCCCGGGCTCTCTTCTTCTAGTTTAAAATGAAAACTGTAGCCTATGGACTGGGCCAGCTTTTTAACAGCTGTGGCAGAAACCCATCTTGGAAATTCCCCAACTTTTTAGTTCCAGTGACATCAAAAGGCTGACCCTGTGCCATTCATTGTTGCTGTCTCACGCATCTGAAAACAAGCTCCTCTGTTTGCTGTGGAGGATGATGGCAAAACAGTTAAGTTGGACATACAGGAAGAAAGAACAGTGTTTAGTATGCAACAGTCTACATGTTATTTGCCTTAATCTTCTTCATTACATCCTTGTGAAGTACGCCATTAATCCTGCAGCTTTCCTGATGGGGACCAAGTCTGAAAGAAGTTTTTAACCAATGCTAGCCAGTGTGTCTGTAGCAGCAGCAGCAGCAGTTAGCCAATACACTTGCCATCATAATCAAAACATTAGTTCTAACACACATCCAGGATAAATGACCTTTCTTACATTTCTGTGTTGTTCTTTTGAACTGCACTATTGAGCAGTTAAAGTTTCCTGCAAGAGCAGGTTGCCTCTTCTGTGCCTTCTAAAAACAGTGGACCCTCTACTTATGGAATTAATCCGTATTGGAATGGTGGCTGCAAGTTGAAAAGTCTGTAGGTCGAATCTCCATTGACCTACAATGCATTGAAAACCGATTAATCCCATAACTGGCAGTTTTTATTCTATTTTTGTTCCATTTTGTTTTGTTTTTTCTGGTCTGTAAGTCGATTCTCCGGCTGCAACTCGAATCTAAATTTTGTGGCCAGAGAAGTCTGTAACTCAAAGTCTGTAAGTCGAGCCGTCTGTAAGTCGAGGGTCCACTGAAATTCCTTGGTCACTCCTGTATGATTCACAGCATGAACGAGCAGATCCAGTTTCCCTTTCACTCTCCATGGTCTGCTTAGTAGGCTCCATTCTACCCTGTGGCTCTCCACCCTTTGTGACAAGCCTGTCCCACTTTCCACATCTGAAAGAAAAAGTGGAGGGAAAATACCAAATTTGGTCACAGCTTCTTCTTCTTTTTTTTCTTGTCCTGGCTTCTTCTTCTTCTTTTTTTTTTTTTTTGTCCTTTCTTAGGAAGCTGATTTAAAGGATTTTTTTTTAAACTGAGAAGAAGCTGCTGTAGGGAAAGAGGAATTTCTTTAAGTACAGAGGGAAAACTTATCCCTTTTGACCCTCATTTTGAAAATAAATGCTTGCTGAACTATGCTGTGGTAGAACTGATGCTTTTGGGTTCTCTCTCTCTCTCTCTCTCTCTCTCTCTCTGTGTGTGTGTGTGAGAGAGAGAGACAGACAGACAGACAGACAGACAGACAGACAGACAGAGACGGTTCCTGCCTAAAGCTAGGACATTAAATGTGTAAAGCTATAGATGGTGGTTTGCAAACCTCAGAAGTGGGTTCTTTAGGCAGATGGTGTGTGTTCTCTACCCATAGAGAAACGTGGGCCCAGTGTCTAGTTTTCACTCTTACTCATTTGGATTCTGTGCTGCTACATTTTGTGGGAAAAGCAGGCTGCTTAATGGAAAGGGGAGGGGACTCAGATGCACTTTTCTGTATTCTTCCAGATCAGCAGTAATTTCAAGGCTGCTCATAATTTGGGGGAGCCTGTTCTTTGGCAGAGATAGGAAGCATAATGCTTCTCATCTATTGGACAAAGGAAAGGGAGAGATTGCCTTCACTTTCCATTTTGTCTCAGGTGGTTCCTGTTGATTTCATTTCCATCTTTCACTCCAGATCCCATGCTGCCATTCTTAAGTACCCCAATGAGACATTCTATGATGGAGAGCTGCAGGAACATGCTGATCGCCTCATCACTGAGTCCTACTGCAGCTGGAAAGAACTGGTTCAACAGGTGAGAAGGGGTAGCAGGAACTGCGTGAGTCTTCTGAATCCTGTATCATGACACGTGTGTCTGAGATGGACTCTTCTTGCAGGGCTTTCCCATCATCTTCCATGGAGTCTGTGGAGAAGACCAGCGAGAGGAAAACAGCCCTTCATTTTTCAACACTGCTGAGATAAATGTGCTGATTGAGTACTTGAAGAAACTGCTGCTGGAAGGTCAGGGCAAGAAAGGCCAGTCTCAAATTTCCCCTAAAGAAATTGGCATCATTTCTCCATACAGAAAGCAGGTAAGTACTTCCCCCAGTTTCAGGTAATGAATGAATGAATGAATGAATGAATGAAATAATATTTTCTTTCCGAAGCTCTGCTAAAATCTGGGCATTGTTTCACATGACCGAAATGTTTTTTATCTAATGTATCCAGAGCTTTCCTCTGTTGTATACAACAAGCATGTCTGCCTGTAAGCAAGTGGAAGATGTCACTGAAAACATGAGCTGTCTACGAGCAAGGCATTTGGGATTGCCAGGCTACATTTTTCAATAACTGCCATAATAGTTGTTGTTATCTACTTGCATTTTTTGATTATAGATGTCCCAGGTCATACCTTACTTTCTTCAAGGAGAAGTGTCAACTAATGCCTGAACTGTGCACATGACCTACAGTTTCATTCTGTTATGTGCTTCTGTGTCAACCTGCTGCAGTTAGCAATGGCATGGGCCAGGATGGTCTGCGAAGGAGTTGAGCTTTCAAACTGGCAGAAAAAAAGTATTTCTTCCACTTCTAGCATACAGCTCAGATACCCAGATGAGTTTGAAAATTTTGATGTCAGGTTACTTATGTCTGTGTTTTGCATGTCTTTCTCTCTGACCATCTCGTACTTTTCCTTAAGTACGTATGTAACACCTTAAAACCATAGTTTTGAATGAAAATAATTTATCAGCCTGCTAAGGATATCTCACGTCAGTTCCCTAAGTCAGTCTTTCCTAACCCAGTGCTTTCCAGATACTATGGATCACTGGTCTTGGCCGTGCTGACTGGGAAAAAGGGAAATGCAGTTCAGATGCTAAGGACTGCAACCCTTGTCATGCTGTTTGAGAAGTTAGAAACTAGATTAAAACATTTGTAGGAGAACATACTAGGACAGCTACCAGAGATTTTCTTTTCAAAGAATAAAAGAGAAGGCTATGCAACATATAAAAGACTAGCTAACAACACCCATCACAGTGACAAATCATCTCCCCCTTTATCACGACAATACACCCATAACAAAAAACATCCTGATCACCATAATCATCCAATCTCCTGGAAAGGACAAAAAGCGGATCCCACAGCTACAAATACTCAACTGTCCCACACACTACACCAGAACACAGACAGAGGTTTAACTTCTGTCCTCTGAAGATGCTGGTCACAGAGGTGAAATGTTAGGAAGAAAAACCTCCAGAACACAGCCAAACAGCCTGAAAAACCTACAACCACCATCGGATCCCGGCCATGAAAGCCTTTGAGAATACATATGCAGCATATATTCTTATCTCCTTTTGTCCCAAGGCACATGTTCATAATCTTTCATATAAGCCTCATATTTAGAAGTGACATTCTATGTTGGCCTTTCTGTCTGTGTGTCTTCCCTTGGCTTCCCCTCTCCTCTGTTTCTCGCCTTCCCTGTTCCCTGCTTTGCTTTTGTTATTTCCTGTTCTCTTCCCTTTCCTCCTTTCTAGCTGAGCTAGTAATGGAAAGGGAGTCCCTTTCTCTGGGCTAAACACCTCAGTCACCTCCTGCATAGTCAGCTCATCTGGACCTTCTGCAACTTTTTTGTAGTTTTCAGCTGTTTCATGAGCAATACTCTGGGGAGGATGAATTGAAGCTTTCCTTCTCTGATTCCCCACTGGAAACTGCTGAGAAGCAGGGGAAAAGAGCTGCACGAGGCACAGAAAATCGGTGTGTGTTGGGGGGAGAGACAGGATGAAGAGTCTGGACGGTTGAGTTCTCCACCCATGTCTTATGTCAAAGATATTGTTGCATTGTAACTCCTTTTATTGGGAAGGAGACTTAGGAGTACTGTTTCCTTCAAATTTTAGCTAATTTACTCTCAGCCTGTAATATTTATAGTGCTGAGTTACAAAGCCAATTTGGATGGATGGATAAATGGATGGATGGATAAATGGATGGATAAATGGATGGATGGATAAACTGAAACTCATTCTAACAGCCTTAATGCAGAAATGGGTGTAGCAAGGAAATAATGCAAACAATAGCAAGGAACTAATGTTCTGAAAAGGTGCTGAAAATGTGACTTTTATAACAGAGTAAATAAATATATAAATGGGTATCATATAATGGCAAGCCTAGAGTATTTTAGTTTTTTTCTTAAAAAAAAACCAAGATCACTCTTCCACAATTTAATTTTCCTACTAAGGAATGCTCCAATTTTCAAGTAGGAAACTGTATTCTTGGTTGATGTTACTGAAAAAGCTTTTTGTCTCAACGTTTCTGTGCATTTGAGAGTACTGTCCAAATGGCAGTTCCATACCCACTGTATAGTCTTGTCTGCCCATTCCCTAACCATCAGGACACATAGTAAAGAGAACAGTCCTGAGAAAGGAAGTCAAATTCCCTTATCATAGTTCTGCTGCATATAGACTTCTAAAGATGACAATGATGTTCAAGGGACATATTAAAAACAAACAAACAAAAAAACTGAAAAAGCTCTTCCATGTTTTCTAATGAAATTTTTTAGTGGGGGGAAGTTAATTGGGAGTGAGGGAGGCATTCTAGTGAATACAAAAGATAAAATTGCACCCACAAAGCCCCAAGGAGGTACAAGTGGCTGTTTGAAAACTTTTTCTGTTTAAATTATTTTTTTTTAATTTGGGGGCAGAGGTGGCTTATGATGTGGGTGGCTGCAAAGACCAGCATGCAGCCCTTCAGGTGAACTTGTCCATCCTGACCTAAGGTGACTAGCCAGAAGATGCTTGCCAGTAATTTGAGCCCAGTAACAAGATTGGAAAGGCATCAACAATTGGTTTCAATTTTCTTATCTCTCACAGGTGCAGAAGATAAGATTTGCCATTAATAAGGTATCTGGATTAAAGAATCTAAACAATATCAAGGACCTCAAGGTGAGACTTGAGTTTGCGCCAGCTGTTCTGTGGAAGATACAGTTGTGATAGTCCATGCCTAATGTGATAAATCTTCAAAGGGCTTTAAATCCTCCTAAAAGAGCAATATTGACAAACCAAATACTTTAGTCAAGTACACGAATGAGGCTTTACGTGACCGGGTATGGGACTTCCTTATCATAGTATACTGCAGTAAAACAAAGGTACTGCATGAATTAGAATTTCTATGTCTGAACCAGCTATAACAACCCTGATGAGAGCTACCTTGTTGTCTTATTTATTTACTAAGAAGAAGGCGGCACCCTCTGTTAATTTTCTTGACCTACAGAGCCTAAAAATGTGACTTTTTAAAAATTAAAATTCCCTGAAAATCACAGCTGTGGCCATGGCTGTGTTGCTGGCTGTAAGACTCTAAGAAATGTCCTCAGAAAAAGATAATTTTTCCAATATTTCTGCCTCTTTGGAGTTTGGAGCTTGAGTATTTCCTATCCCCTTATTAACCTAGCTATTCCCTTCTTCTTTTTTCTCCAGGTGGGTTCTGTTGAGGAGTTCCAGGGTCAAGAGCGGCGTGTGGTGCTCATTTCCACAGTGCGCAGTAGCAATCGTTATTCTGCTTTTCATGATGAATTTCACCTTGGCTTTCTCAAGAACCCCAAGGTACAAATCTGTGCATATCCTCCTGTAAATCATTAACACATTTTGATCTAATCTCCTTCCTTTCGGGATCCAGGAGATAACCATAGAATGCTTGGATCTTCTGTTTCCTCTTCCTTTCCAGGGGCTATAGTAGAGGCTGTGTCCCTCTCTGTGGCTTGGATTCATCATAGTTTGTATTCAGATAGCATCTTCCCATGTTCCCAGTTCATCAGAACTCTGGGAGTAGATGAAATGCCCCAAGAGAAAACAGCTAGGCTTCACTTGATTGTGCCGACCAGAGGATGGAAAAATTACTTTTAATACTGTCGGTTGTAGAATCCACAAGACCATCGGCTATGGTGGCCGTGGGGTTTCTAGTAAATGTAGTAAAAAAGGGGAACTTTTCCAAGCCCTGATGCTGACCATCAGTGAGCCCCGAGGCACAGTGGTTCAGGCAAGACTTTTCCAAGCCCTGATGCTGACCATCAGCCGAGGCACAGTGGTTCAGGCAAACTTCTGCTCACATCCTGAGTTTGATCCCAATGAGTTCAGGTAGCCAGCTTGAGGTTGACTCAACTTTCCATTCTTCTGAGCTTGGAAAATTGAGTACCCAGCCCACTAGGGGGTGTGTGTGTCAAGTTGTTCCTTGCATACTTATATTGCAAACCACCCAGAGAGTGCTGTAGCACTATTGGGTGTTATATAAGTGGAAACAATAATAGTAGTAACCACTCAAAATTGGCACAGCAGATCCTGCCGAGACTCCCATTTTTGATTGGCAGCTTAGAGTATACAGAATAGAGTGGAGCATGAGATCTCCTTCCACTCCCAAACAGAACACCCTTGGAAGTCGCATAATTATGATGGGAATTCAACTTGCTGAAGAAAGACATTTTCAGAAATGTTTCTCAATCATTCCACTGGGTGAGACAATGATTTGGTTTTGTCTTGCTGAAGAAAGCGGTTGTCCCCTTGCTCTTCTCTACCACATAGATACTTTCTGCTTTTCTTACACTGTCAGTGACTCCCAGGAAGATTAGCATAGACATTGGATTGCAAATGTCCAAATGTGCCTTAGACATTTCACCCAGTTCTCTTTAATACCATGCGGATAATGGGCCCTTCAAATGCCAGTCCTGTGGTTTAGTCTCTTCTTTCAGCTTTCTATCACATGGTATTCTCATGCTAGACAGAGGCTGCTTGTAAAGAAGAAACACAAATCTTCAGTTACTGCTTAGAATTTTGTCTTCAATTTTGGGAAGACAAAATAGAAACACAGCTTTGCGATGCATGAGCAAACTTCAGAAATAGGGTTGGTTAAAACAACTTTATTGGACTTTGAGTTCTCTGAGACTGTTCACAAAGCTGGGCATGGAAATATGGTGGATGAGTTCTCTGGATAAACAGAAGTCCAAAATTCATTGAAACTGCAAGTATCTGTAGTTAAAGTCCTAAGATGGAGTCTATGAGCTTGAAGAAACAGCCAGTACCAGCTTTCACCTTAGGGGACATACAATTTTAATTGGCTCTGCCTATCCAGCTATAGATAATGGTTCCCAACCTTGGCCCTGGATGTTCTTAGATTAAAACACTCAAAAGCCTTCAGCAATAGCTAGCCAGGATGTCTGGGAGTTGTAGTCCAAGAACATCTGGGGACTCAAGGTTGGGAATCACTGGTCTGGATAAAGAGATGCTAGTCACTCAGTGAGCTCTTCCTTACCTTCCGTTGACACATATAGGCCCTCTGCCAACTGACAGAAGAAGCATCAAGAAACATGGTGTTCCTCATATCCAAAAACAAATAAAGGTGATTATACTTAAGTGGAGCACTAGGCAAAAACAGTCAATTTAACAAAATGAATACCATTGACTAATAATGTGAAGGATGTGGGATCCTCGGTGCATTGTAATCTTCTTTGGTCATCTCCCAGGGCAGTATTTTCTTCTACATGAATGTTGAACTCTTTCAAAGTGTACAAATAGGTTTAACCTTTCTTTCTTTTCCCCCACACTCTCCATTTCCAGCGCTTCAACGTGGCCATTACAAGAGCAAAGGCACTCTTGATTATCATAGGGAATCCAAGAACTCTTGCCAAAGATCTCCATTGGGGCGAGTAAGTGATACACTCTTGTGAGTCCCTAAAGCCCATCCTTTCCCCATTATCCCTCAAGACATTTTAACTGGCAGACCACTTTCTTCTCCTGCAGTGATCCTGAGATGCATCTGAGTAAATCGGGGTGTAAACTCTGTGCGTTCTGTAAAGCTCAGAGGGAAGTTGTGGGAGGTATTGTAACAGGCATCCTCCCTCCCTCCCAGAGTGTTGCACAATTTTAAATTATGGACATATATGAAACATAGGTAAAATTAAAACAAATGAAAGCATTAAGATAATTAGACCATTTTTAAAAAACAGTAATGGGCCACTTCAATAGCATTATTTTGGGCATTTGCTAGATTATGAAACGTGCTGCATTGATTGAATCTCTGCACGGTCACAGAAAATCCAAGTACCCATTTTACATGATTATTTGTTTATCTTCCAACTTTGTTTCGAAGTCTATTATTGACTTCCAGATGGTACAGCTAGATTTAAGTATTAAGGCAAAAACAAAAGAAAAATAAATAATATAGAAGTGGTAACTTATAGGCTAACTGCTATATTTTAATGAGAGCTTTTGTCGACAAGTCCACTTCTTTAGACAGAGAAGTGGTAAGAGTTGCCTCCTTTCATGGAAGAATGTCTGGAACTAGCGAGCAGGTCAGATTTGAGTTGAAATGATAGTCTTCTGTTTTGTTCTTCAGAAGAAAAAAGACCCATGCTGGATTAGACCAAAAAGTGTATCTAATGCTTCATTATTGTGTTATTTGACTGTTGTCAATTGTTTCAGACTGTTCTCTCAGCACCTGATTTAAGATGCAACCTTATTACCCTTGGTTTCTGACTGTGGTGTGTTGTAGCCTAGACCACTGGTTCTTAACCTTTGTTACTCAGGTGTTTTTGAACTGCAACTGCCAGAAACCTCAGCCAGCAGAGCTGATGGTGAAGGCTTCTGGGAGTTGCAGTCCAAAAACATCTGAGTAACAAAGGTTAAGAACCAGTGGTCTAGACCAGTGGTTCTTAACCTTTGTTACTCGGATGCTTTTGAACTGCAACTCCCAGAAACCCCAGTCAGGACAGCTGGTGGTGAAGGCTTCTGGGAGTTGCAGTCCAAAACTCCTGAGTAACCCAAGGTTAAGAATCAGTGGTCTAGACCAGGACTGAAAACTAAAATGGAGCAGGAGTCCCAATTCCTCCACCCAGAGTCCTTCGGAGGCCATATAATGTCAGAGGGAATGTGACCATGTCATGTTAGTACTGTAATAAGTTTCTGGCCAAAGCGCCTGGTTACACTTTGCTGCTTGGCATTTCAGCAAGGACCCTTCTCTGCAAGGAGAATTAAAGTGACATTTCCAGGAGCACAAGCTGCAGCAAGAAAGGAAGTCATTGCCCTTCCCAGTCTTTGATCAGAGACAGCCTGTAGGAATTCTCTAGCACTTGCAGGCAAATCCTTGCTGTTTTCTCCAATTCATGATTAAAGAGAAAACTTTGGGGGCTTGGGAACTAGACTTTCTGCAGCTGTACTTGAGGCTTTGTTGTTTGATGTGCAGGAAAGTGTGTGTCTATGTGGTACTGGAGAGATACTGCCCCAAAGTATAAATGTCTGGTTCTCTGAGAACTTGAAGCCCCCATATATTAAATTATTATGATTGGTTCTGTGTAGATCAGTGCTGTCCTTTCTAACTGTCATCAGCTTGCCAAAGTGTCTGTTGGAAGTCTTTTTTCATTTGAGCTATTTGAGATTCTTTAACTTCAGAAACCAGTAATTAAATACTGGGACTTTCCATGTGCAAATCGTGTGTTCTTTCACTGGGTCATCCTCTTACAATGGCCAAAATTCTCTAGAATAAACTCTGCTCGCTTAAGGGTGATGATGGCACTGCCTGTGGAGATTGTCAGTAAGTTCTTATTTCAGGTTTGCCTGGAATCAGTCCCTTCGTAGATGACATTGGTGAGCTTCTGTTTTGATCCTGGGACTTGCCAGAGTTGCCCACAATGAAAGTGATTGTGAGCAAGGAGGGTGTGTGCCTTGGGAACTCCTTAATTACTGGCAACCTCTTCTTGTCAATGATGTCATCACCCCTAAACAGACAGAATTTACTCAGTGGAATTTTGGCCAAAGTATGATGACCAACTGTCATATTACATATAAGTACATTTTAGTTTAGTACAGATACCTTGTTCTTCACTTTTTGTTGTTGTTTAGTCGTTTAGTCATGTCCGACTCTTCTTGACCCCATGGACCAGAGCAGGCCAGGCCCTCCTGTCTTCCACTGCCTCCTGAAGTTTGGTCAAATTCATGTTGGTCGCTTCGATGACACTGTCCAACCATCTCATCCACTTTTACTGTGTTCTAAAGCTCACTCCTAAATTTAAATGGCTTCTGGTTTGGAGAGTGGCCCTAACAATTCTGCTTTGTTTGTGTCCCCAGGTTTCTCAAGTACTGCAGGAAAAACAATGCTTACCGAGGGTACCATTACGTAGAAGGTGAAACTGAAGAGGAGGAGGAGGAGGAGGAAGTATTGGCAGCAGAGTTGTGTTCCCTGAGCTTGAATAGACAGCCAGTTGGTAAGAAATTACAGAGACTGTAGAGCTAAGATTTCACCACCTATCGCATCCTGGATGTTTGAGAAGGAGTTTGTTTTTCATTATTTCTTATGTCTAGTGCCATAGACCATGAACTTGGGAGTAAGGGGTCAGTTCCCCAAATTAAGTGGGAAGAACCAGCTTTTTTCCAGCTTTACCACTTTCATTTGATCACAGTCAAGGGTCAAATACAAGCATAGATAGTAAGATTTTCTTTGCACACATCTGACAGAAGTACTGAAAGTATTTGCCTTGATATGAAAAAGAAACCTTTTATTTAGAAATTTGATGAAGTCACACCTGTTCCTTATTTGGAACAGATGGGTGCGCACTTTAAAATGTGGGCAATTGTTTAAGATTGGATAAGATCTTGAGTATCTTTTTGAGTATTCCTGAAATCTGCTTTCTTCTTCTTCTTCTTCAGAGAACAACATAGGAGAGAGTCACATCCAGCAACAAGTGGAGCCAGAATGGAGACATGATCACTGAGCGCTTGGTCCTTACCTTGGAGCCACTGCATTCTGTATGCACAAGCCATGTCTGTTTCTGTTGTTTACAAAGTGAAAGAGCTGAGGATATCTCAGTGACACAAATCAGGGTTTTGGTGTCATATGTACTGTTTATCAGAAGTTAAAGCCAGTGCTCAAAATTATGCATAATTGCTGTGCCTTAGAAATTCTGACCCTAATGGTACACTGCAGCTACCAATATTGACAATGCAGTGTGCACTAAATCCCATTTTAAAAAAGAGTCTTTCCTGTATCTCAACTAGAGATGGGGGTATTCGTATACAAATACCCCCACACAGGTGGACATAACGAGGTCCGCTCACCGATCTGCTGTTGCCACAACCTCCACAATCCTTCCAATGGCTCCGGAGATTGTGATCAGCAAGCCACTCTTCTAATCTCAACCCCTTTGTGTGTTTGATGGTGAGTGAGTATGTTTCATGAGGCATTAAGAAATGATGACTGCCATCCTATTTTTATATGTTTGCTGGGATGGTTTTATGTGACTACTGTTCATTATATATGTTTGAAAATGCTACATAACAGTCTCTTCAGTGACTGTGCTGACAGCTGCATCCCAGCACATCTGGCAGCCCCCAGAAAAAAACAGCTGTATGAAGTTTTATACGTCACCTTGAGTCCATCCCATGTAGTCTGTTAAAATAAATTGATCAATTTCTTGGATGATACTAAGTGCTAGCATTAGTTGGGGAAAGCAGGGAAAACTAAACACACTTTCCACATGGTAGTTGTGAATTGAGTCACAACAAAGCTGGGCAAAATCAGATCGCAATTCCCGGAAACTTTAGCAACCATAGCCAATGATAAGCGATGCTGGGAATTGAAAGCCCTACATCATTGTCCACTCCTGAGTAAGGGTTTCTATGGAAAATAGCGTAACCTCTGTATGACCCAAATATAATCAAAATAAGGAGTATGGGTGAATGAACTTTCCCATAGGAGCATAAATTGGAAAGAGATCATTTTGCAACAATACTCCCAAGAGCTGAAGGAGGGTAAGATTTGTTTACCAATGTTCCAATGTTGGAGGCATTCAAGAGAAAATTCAACAGCCATCTGTCAGATTTGCTTTGATTAGGATTCCTGCATTGAACAGGGAATTGGACTCAATGGCCTTATAAGTTCCTTCCAGCTCCATTATTCTATGATTCAACTAAAATTGGGAAACACTGCTTTAACTGACTGCATGTTAGGTTCAAAATGTTTAACTTGAAGTGACTTTGGAGAAATCATATTTTCTTATCCCCCGAGTGATTTATTACTTCTATTAATAAGAAGGAACTGAGAATGGAACAAATAGCAACTATTATTCTCTGGGCTGCTAGAGATCTGCATGTTAAAGGAGCAGCTGGTACAATGCACGGACTGGCATAACAGCATTTGGCCCTTTGCCTGCCTATAAAATAAACAGAGTAAGAATATTGGTCTCTTGTGCACTTCCTGGCACAGCCATGGCCATAAATGCTGACATCTATTGGCTTCTTAGGAATACCAAAAGCAGTATATGCTCAGGGAAGCTGGTGGGGTAAATAATAAGAATGGAGCAATCTTTAGGGAATTATGTTGTATTTCTGGTGCACCTATTTCTAGAGGTGTAGCAGCCCAGATTCCTTTCTTTTCTTTGGACAAATAGTTACTCTTGCAGTTGATTATGTTTCCCCACCGTTCCCACAATGGTAAAAAAACTTCCAACAAAAAAGTTTGTCAGTGTGTTAAGTTTTTAAAAATATTATGGGTGCAACATACCCATAATGCAGGTGTAAAAAATAGAAAGTACTTCAGGGGTAAACATGCAGTATTCAATTGATTTAAATGGGGAAAATAAAAAAATCACCAAAAATTAATGAAGACTCAGAACAAAACCAAATTAAGTTTGCACATGTTTCACAAGGTGCACTATGGAATCCAAGCATTTAAAACAGGTTTCAAACATTTTAAGACACTTTTAAATGAGCAAAAAGGGACATCGTTAAGTGAAATTCCCCCATAGAGAACATTGTTAAACAATGGGGGAAATTCCTCAAAAAAACCCATCGCTGTGTGAATTCATCGTTGTATGAAGCAATCGTTGTGCGAGGCACCACTGTATACTGGGCTTGTATGCCTATGCACTGTATCCTGGTTCAACTGATGCAGAAGCTGGCTTCTCTTCAGCTGGAGAAGCAGTTGGTGTTACACAAATATGAGTACGTGCCTTGTACCCTTTTGGTGTTTTTGCTCATCTGTCATGAAAACTATTCTAAACAGGGTAGGATTAAGCATACTTACCTAGACTTCTCCAAGACATCCCTAATCTGAAGGCATCACAAGGCAAGGCTCATCCAAGCAACTGTAAGAACCAGGGGTCACCTGTTGCTGGTGCAGACACCACATATAGAAGTCAGGTGCAACTATGAGTTACTAGCAAGAGGCTTAGCAGGCTAGCCACTGAGGAATGTCTAGAGGATGCTGCAGATGCACAGGTAGAAGAAACTTCTCTGCTAGTGGTCCTAGAAGTGGAATACCATATACTGTATCTGCTTCAGATGACTAAGTGCTGAACCAGTAGGGAGAGCACTTTATAGGTAGGTATTTGAGCCTTTCCTAAAATGAAGTGGGTGTTGTCCAAAGAAAAAACAAGTTTTTTTTTTCCATAGCATGAGATCCATTTTTGGAAGGCTGTTATACAATTTCTCAAAGAGCTGATTTTTAAAATGTCGGGTGCAGAGAGAGGAGAAGCAGCTGTTGGTCTTACGACAGGTGAGATTTCCAGCAAAGAGAATAATTTCACAATGGCTCCTGGAGCTTTGTGATATTTGCCACTCCTTTCCTGAGAATGATCCATGAAATCCTTCACTCTGAGAGCAAAATGTTAGATGAATCTATATATGTAGTATAGTGTAAGGAAGTGGTTGAATCCTAGCCAGTCAGACCAGGCTCTATAACTTCAAATTACAGAAGGGATATTATTTTTCAAAGTCCTCATAAGTAGAAAGTCAGCTTACATTCACTAATGTGACAAGAGCTGGATTCCAACATCTCTCCTTGTAGTCCTAGTTTCTCTGTCTTAAAGGAGATTAATATGGAAGAGTGTTCACCAAAATGACCCCTGCACAAAACTAAAATGGTACATTCCACTTGATGACTTCTGGATTTGGACCACACATCCTGCTGTATGCATAGGAGCATGATTGGAGTTGTACCATTTATGCAGGGTGAAGGTGGCCCAGTTGAGTTCCTAGTGCAGAACTCAAGAGACAGTTCAACCCTGGAAGAAGAACACAGCTTTGTGAACCTACACAGCATCCATAACAAACAAAACCAAGACTAAGATCCCATTTAATTTAATGAAAGAAGTGAGAAAGTATGCTATTGCCAAAATGCAAGGCACTGCCCTCAAAACAGAAGTACAATGAATGACATATATGACCACAACAGAGCTCAGCTCCTCAATGAAAACAGGTAGGCATCTTGGCAAGGCTGAATTGCTTGCCTAAACAAGTAGGTGGAGAGGTATCTGCAAGTTCATTTGCAAGCAGAGAGTAGAGTATAACACTGGAAACCTAGCTTCCTCGGTTTACAAGAACAAAGTGAGAGGAAGCACCAGTGAATCTGTACAAGCAGTGGAATTAGTATAAAAATGGAAGGAAAAAGCAAAGCTGAATTAGTTCATCTGTATTGCCTGCCCTATATAAAAATGACAGTCTGTACAAAAAGAGTTGAGTAGATCTCTCTGGCTTTCAAGCATAGTGTGACTTTAGAGAAGAGAACCTGGATACGTTGTCCATGGAAAGGCCATGAGATATACCTACACTGTGTGGCCCATCCAGACCATTTACTGTGCAGAGGGCTGAAGGGCTGAGTCAGCTTAGTAAATTCTTACATCAGATGCAGCTAATTGTGTCCTCTCCACCCTGAGCCCCCACTTGCATCCATGGGAGTGCGGAAAGAGACTGAAACACTTCAGATAACAAGAGTCACATCCTTGGTTGATGTTTTCCTTTCACAACAGCGGGCAGCCTTTGCGCTTTCTGTTCTTCCTCACTTGCAAGGCAGCTCGAGTGGCCATTTCAAACACTTCCCTCACACCATCCTTTGTCTTGGCTGAGCACTCAAGGTAGCCAAAAGCGTTGATCCTGTTGGCCATGTCTCGCCCTTCCTCTGGCTTCACCGGCTCCTTTGAGAGAAAACACACATAAAAAAGGTCTTTTTTTCCAAGGACTGTAATGAAGAAAGAGGCAGGATAACCAAGAAGTTCCCGTTCTGTGCCCTTGGCCAGTATGAACCACCTATTGTGTTGGTGAGATGCAGAAATGGTCTTAGGGGGACCTAGTGTTTCCATAGCAACCACTAAGAATTAATTTTTCTGCAATCCCTAGGTCCTCTTAGAAGTGTGATATGCAATCTCACACTGACTATCCACTACAGACTGTATCCTTATGACCTGGCAGGCTAGTAATAACTTTTAGAGTTTCAAGAACTACCTCCAGCTGCTGGCGCCAATAGCGGTATGTACAAAACTTTGTAAGTCAATACTAACAGGATTGCCTGTTCTACTAAGGACTAGAAATTAGAATGAGGCCAGAGTGTTCGCCTAAATCTCTTCTTTCTCTGATCACCAGCTTACTGTAAATTTAAGTCTAATGCTGCAAACTTGTAAATGTCCTTTGCAGAAAAACTGGCCTTTTCATGTCTGTCACAGTGAGACTTGTATTCATTAACAGAATGACTGGAGAGATGTAAGATACCAAGGACAGAGTCCTGTTAACAATCCTGGAGTGTTAATGGTTTGCAGGAGAAATGAACTGTAACTTCACCAGTGACGTTTGGCTTGCACTTACTCCACCTTGTTGCAAGAAGGGTATTGAAAAAACAATTTCTGGTTGAGAAGAGAAGCCTCCAGGAGTGCCACATAGGGCCAAGACCGACCCCAGCCCTTGCCCATTGTGTTCCCAAGAGTATTCCCACTGAACACTTAATGATTCTTTCTTATTCATAACATTTTAAAAAATAAGACATGTTCTTTTTTATTTAAGACGCGAATCTGGACGTGTCACCCGTTTGAAGCAATATTGGAGGAATTTAGAAAAAGCAGGAGAAATGTGTTGTTCCACGTTTTTGAGGAGGATTTCAGAACAGTGGTTCAAGAGTAGGTTCTATGTTGTCTCTATCAAACACAGATCACTAGATATGTCTTCTAAGTGTCTCCCCTAATTATACCAACAGCCAGCATGTAGTTTTTCTGGTGTGGAGACTTCAAACACCTCTATACCTGTCTTTTCCTGGTATCCATGGCCACTGGTTTTTAAAGCTCTTTAGAAACAATCCATAGAGGCAGGTTAACCAGAAAAAGAAGAAACAAAAACAACAAAATAGTAGCTATTACTACTACTGATGTCATCAGCCTTACTACACCACAAGTGTAGCAGAACTTGTGCTGTGTAAGACCGATGACATCAGCTGCAGTGGTCAATCCCCCCCTGCAAAGGTCTTGAGACTCCCTTATACGGCCAATGTCTCCTGCCAATGTGAAGGTTCTGTGTCTCAAAAAATCTAAGAAGTCATCAAACAAAGAGGGGAGCTTGTGGCCATCCAGATACTGGACTTCAACTCCTAGCAGCCCTAGCTGGTGCACCTAGTGATGAAACTGAAGGGTCTCCCAGTTAAACAGAAGTGAAGTCCAGACCTGCTTCATCTTCGCCAGTTCCCTGCGGGTGTGCTCATCATTTCGCAAATCCTTCTTGTTTCCCACAAGGATGATGGGCACATTAGGACAGAAGTGTTTCACTTCAGGAGTCCATTTCTCTGGTATGTTCTCTGGAAGAGTCAAGCACACAGAAGAACATTTTACAAAGCAGATCTAGCTAAACAATGAAAGTACCTCTCAACAGTGCAACAAAACATTTCTGGGCATATAATCCTTTAACATTTAGAAATGTTGATAGGAATATTCATAGCTGAATGAAAGGAAACCCATCCAGATTCCTGCTAAAGATGTAAACCTGGATACAGTGAGACTCCTTTGTTCAAAGTCTTGGCCAACACACAACTGCTTCAGCCACCACACCCCATAGCAGCTGCAAGGGAACCCTGCACTCCCTAAAGCATTGAAAGAAAAATATGTGAGTAGAGCATGGGAAGCTTGCCACCCAAATCTAGCAGCAACAGCCCTGCAGACTTATGCAAGGACAGCTTCAGAGGGCCTTCATGCCACCAAGGATGCAGTATACAGAAAAGAGAAATACAGTGCACAGTCCACACCCTTGCAGATTTCAGCAACGACTAATACAAAACGTTTGCTCATTCATTCTAAAAGCAGTAAATGAATCTTTACTGCCACAACTGCTAATCAGTTGTACTGAAATAACTGTTAGGAGCTACACAAGACAGACTGCATATCTGAAGAACCAATCAAGATTAGTAGTTGTGTAAACCCTGGAACTGTTTTGCCAGGAATGCCAAGGGGCAACCTGATTACTCTTCAGTCAGCAATGTTTTACTATTATTATTATTATTATTATTATTATTATTATTATTATTATTATTATTATTATTATTATTATTATTATCTTGAGTAAAACCAGAGAATCTTTTCTCTCCACCTTGTTAGTCATATCAAGAATCCTCCGCCAAATTCTGCATTATTTCAGGCACATGGCAACACATGTAGATCTTACACTGGGAGCACTATGTCTCTGCAATTCTTGTTTCCTGCCAGTGTGAATAAATACTGTGCCTTTCCTACCAAAGCACCCTGGAAACGGATGTGGTGTCAGAAATAGTGCTAATTCATATTACGCGTTCCAATCCAAAGCATCACTAGCAAGAACTGGTAGTTCTCCTTTACCCACTGAAAGCTCATACAAATGAACGAAACATGGTTGATAGGGATGGCAACCTCTTTTTTTGTACAGACTACACAGATAACATCAGTTTATTAATGTGAAAAAGCAAGCAAGTTCCTCCGGTAGCAATTGAGAAATGTTCTGATAAACCTCCTGATTGTGTTATGCAGGACTTGCTGGCCAGCACCCTACAGTATTTATTCCAGGAGAGATGCTTCTCAAGGTGAAGCACTCTCAATGTCTTATCAACCACAACCGGAGCTTGAAGAAAGTACTTTTCTTCAAGTAAAGTACAACAACCCAAATCGTCTAGTTAAGTTGAACACTACCTACCATGGCTGGGGGATTCTGGGAGTTACGGTTTATTTTATTTTTTAACAAATCCTGAGTCCATAATGCAATGCATGTTGACCCTTATTTATTTAGCATTTATTATTGTGTTGAGCACCTACACTTTACTTTGAAGTCCCCTCCCCCATCTTTAAAAGACAGCTGTTTTTACCTTTCTGGTAACTTCTGGTTTTGTTTTAGGAAGCAGGTGTGGCCCTTGGAAGGTCCTAATAGTTGAAAAGGCCCCAGAGCTCTAGTATCAGCAACCTCAGTCTTGCCTCTCCTAGCCTTACCTAAACTGTCTGGACTGTCAATGGAGAAGCACATGAGGATGACATCTGTGTCTGGATATGAGAGGGGTCGCAGCCTGTCATAGTCTTCCTGCCCAGCTGTATCCCAGAGGGCTAGCTCCACCTACAGATGGAAGGACATTAACATCAGTAATCAACATGACCCCTATCTCTTCCCACACCAGCAGAGAGAAAAGCAGTCAGTCAGTCAATCTGTAATGCCTCATGTGTGTTGTCGTCCTTGGTTAACTGGTAGTTTTAACACAGCCTGGAACAATATCAGCCCTAATTAAGCAGCCCAAGCCTAGTAACTGATTGGATTATTATGCAGTTTACTTTATAGGCCTGTTTAGCTGTGCTGTCCTCAAGTGGACCACCAAACTGGACTGAAAGATCCTAATGCTGTCAGTAGAAGCCAAGCCCAGATATACTTGTGAGAAATGCAGAATGGCCAGTTACAAGAGGCACAGAAGTAAGAGCATAAAATTCATACCACTGCCACTACCGCTGCCGCTGCCGCTACTACTGCTACTACTGCTGCTACTACTACTACTACTACTAATAATAATAATAATAATAATAATACATTGTCAAGTGAATTCTGACTTACAGCGACCCCTAGAGCTTCTATAGCTATAAAGTGCATTACCATTTTCTTCTGAAGGTGCTTTGGGATTGTATAGTTTTCCTGAAGCTGCAGAGGATGGCTCTTCTTCCAGGAGGCACAATGGGGAATTGAACTCCCAAAATCTGGCTCAGAAACCAAGCATTCCATCTCACTTAGCTATCTAGCTAGTATGAAATAGATACCCCACTTCAAAATAGTTCCCTTGAAGTCACTCCTAACTACTCTTGAGTAAATGGATTTTGAACAGCTCACTCTAAAGACAGAGAGACCAGAAGCAGCTAATATGGAAATTTTTCTGCCATCTGAAGAGCAATACTGTATTGCCCATTCTGCCCATTCAATAAGTAATAATAATTTATCTTCAATAGACTTTTTAGCTTAGTGGACCATCAAAACTTGTGCGTTTTCCCTAAGGAAAGACTTAGGGTTTTTAAGAAGGAGGGAACTGGCACTATTTCTTTGTTTATTCATGAATTGATAGGTGCCATCCAACACATGCCCTCAGGCAAAAATTGTGACATGAAGTGTCCTAGGCAGAAAGAGAGTAGCCAGTAAAATTAAGTGAAAAGTGAAGGATGAGACTAGCTTATAGTAAGTCAAATCCTAGATCCACTTAGCCAAGTATTGTAAACACTGACTGATCACAGTTCTCCAGAACTTCAAGCAGGATTCTTTGTCCAACCCTATATGGACGTGTCTGGCATCCACTGGTGATCTCCCATTCAAATGCTAACTGGAGCCTGCCTAGTTTCAGAAATTAGATGTACTTGGTTATAATGTATCATGTTTAGTTAACCTAATAGAGTGGTGCTTCACTAGACGATGGTAATCTGTTCCACTGAAATCGTTGTCTAGCGAAATCATTGTCTAGAGAAAAGCAAATAGTTGTCTAGCGAAAATCATTTTGCAAAGCAGGGACCAAACATTGTCCAGCGAAATTCCCCTATAGGAATCACTGTTTTGCGAATCACTATAGCGATCGCAAAAAGTCAATGTCTAGCGAAAAAGCTGTCATGCGGGGGAACTGTCTAGCAAGGCACCACTGTAATGGCTCCATGGCCCTCAAAAATAAATATGCAAACAGGGAGAGCAAACTGAGCCCAATGAAGAATGAGCATAATTGCTCTTACAAGGGGAAGCCAGAAGGGTATTTGGCTCTATGTCACCTCCACTCCTGTTTATACCAGTAAATTAGACCAGTGTCTAATTAACTAAATTTGAAAAATCTCCATTTTGAGACTTTGTCTGAACTAGGGGCCTCATAACCACAGTGTGTGGTCTAATTTGGGTTCGTTTTGTTTTGTTTTGTTTCTTCTTTCATATTCTTTTAGGGCCATTTAGCCTAAATAAAAGTTCTGAGTGATTCAAAAGGTCACATGTCATTAGTATGCCCTAATAAAAATACTGCCTTACTGGATTTTGGATTTCACCTACTGCCACCCACCCATGGATTAGACTGTAGTATGAGAGTTTAAATGCACAAAATCATGTTTTTCAGACAATAATTGGTCTCTTAATAACTCTCTTACCTCTAACATTCCTAATGTTTAGGAAAGCAAGTTAGCTCAACATTTTTGAATTGGATCTGCACCAACCAATTAACAGGAGTAGATAGCTGTGGAGAATTTTGCTATAGGGCACAAGGCTTAGTTCCCACCTAGATACGTGGGCCATGGGTTTGTCCCATTCATCTATAAAGTGGGAGTCAGGCTCCACCTAATGAAACTGAGGCTGTCCTACTTTGGGCACATCGTGAGAAGGCAAGATTTGCTGGAAAAGTCAACAATGCTGGGAAAAGTTGACAGGATCAGGAAAAGAGGAAGACCAAATATGAGACGGATTGACTCAGTGATTTATGCCTCTTATTTCCACTCTTCTCTTTTAAAAAAAATCCCAAAGTTTTAGCAGCAGAAAAAAAGACTGGGCATGGCACTCTTGGTATCATGTCTTAGGATCAAAGTTTTAGGAGACTGTATTTGATGCCAAGAGTCTTGAATTTGCAAGAGCTGAGCCAGTGCTGTTGAGGACAGGACATTCTGGAGATCACTCACTCATAGGGTCACCGTAAGTTGGAGGCAACTTGATGGCACAGAACAACAACAAAATCTGGCCCATTATCCTACTTTCCTTTCTATTCCCACACTCTTTCTCCATGAAGCAGTTTTTGATCAGCCCAGCTACAATACCAGAAAGGAGAAGCATTGAGAAAAATTGCTCCTCAGCACAGTAAGTGCATGTGTGGAGAGCCTCCCCATATTCCATTGCTGTCTGGATAAATTCTAGACTTCTATTTCCATCCCAACTGTGTATATCTATGACTGCACATCCGTGAGAATAGGGCCAAATACATGCTAACCTATATATGTTTACCCTACACATCTATCTGATTATTATAGTTTTAGCCTTGCTTCAATAAAATAGTTTGAAAATCTTTAAAAATACAACACCAAACATGGTATTAAAATCCCTGTGACTTAATGTTTATGACAATGCTGATGCGGCTACTTAACTCAAGGCAAGGCAGAAAATCAGAATCTATCAGGATTTTGGTAATGGCAACAGACGTGGCCAAGAACACTTCTAAGGAGATCAACATTAGTGTTTGCATTAAGTCTATCAGCTACTGTACAGATGAATCGCAACAGAATTTGATGACAGCAAGCATTAGAGGGCTTGGGAGATAAAAACAAAGGTTTGCTCAGAAGCTGTCCCTGCTAGCAGAGAGATAGTTACCTGCTTCCCATCTACTTCGATGTCTGCAATGTAGTTTTCAAAGACAGTTGGTACATAGACCTCTGGGAACTGATCTTTGCTGAAGACAATCAGCAGGCAGGTCTTCCCGCAGGCACCGTCGCCCACAATCACCAGCTTCTTTCTGATGGCTGCCATGGCTGCAGAGACAGAGGGGAAGTTGGTTTAGGAGCACAGTTTACTAAGAAGACACATCTTTGTTCTAAATTATGCATACTCCGTGTGAAATATGACAACCTTGTATCAAGGAAACCTGAATTCTGTACTCAGAGTGAGCTGCAGAAAGCAAGCAAATAATCAGGCTAGTACCTTTAGAAGAGGGGAAACTGAGACATTTTAATCATTTAAAATTTTCTGTTTAAACACCAAATAAAAGAAATATAAAATGTATTACTCAGCACGTTCCTGCAAGTGAAACGCAGACATAGAGCAAGCTGAAAAATCCTCCTGCTACCATGCAGAGATTCATTTTAAAAAAATGTTACAACCATCTTTCCATATTCTGATCCAACCCTGCCACAGTCCCCTCAGAAGGTTTGATAGTTGCGTGTAACTAGCTCCCTGACAGTGCAAAAGGCGGTTCCAAGTGCCTCTCAGGTGTGTGTGTGGGGGGGCACTGTTCTGTAAGATGTATAGCAGAGGGTTTGTAAGCACATTCCTGATCAGTCAGTAGGCAAAAGATATTCAGAGAAAACTAGGGTGAATTCCAAGAAGAGTGTATCTAAGCACATTCCTCTGCGCAGGGAGGTCCAGACAGATCTTATCTAACAGCATTTCACTCTGTATTTATACACTGCTAATCTATGTGCTTCAGGATACCTGAGCCACAGTGTATATAGATCAGGAATAGCCAGAAGGCATTCTGAAGGCTACACTTGCTACTTTTGCTTTACAAACACATATTTGAACAAGAGAAATCAATCAGGTATTTAAATGAGGTTTCTGTAAACAAAGGGAAATCAGTAATACAAGAAACATGCATAGTGCAATTAAAAACAAGGTTTGAAACTGATGGCTATATTATACTGTAGTCTGGAAATGCTACATTTTGAACTGCTACTCTTAACATGGCCAGGCTGACTAGGAAAGAGTGCTGCCAGTATGACAGTCCAAAACAGTCACTTTTTCAGGCTATAAAAATACCCGCTACAGTGCAATCACTCAAACTGCACTGTAGTGGATATTTTTGTATCCACTGCCTCCAAAAGGGCACCAGTACATTCTTAGTTTTTTTGTACTAGACAATATTTGGAAAGGACACAGCTAAGAAGTGGACTATGTCCTCTGGTATGCAGTTCCTTTTAACACTTGGACTCCCTTTTCAGAATGAATTAATTTGATTAAACGTACAAAGGGGCAAAGCTCACTGAACTAACTTCTGAAACTGTTCTGTGTTAAATCATTATTACAAAGCAGCAGAGTATTTATAACAGGAGTCCTAATCTTTTAGACCAGTTACTGCAAAATAGAATATCCACACACACCAGCACAGCCTTGATGTGATCATAACTGCAAAAAAGTCTAACCAGAATAGGTCCACCAATAGCAATTTCTTCTTCTTTAATCTCTTCTGCTAGAAGTCATGCTGTATTTCTTAGTCCCCCAGCTGTCATAGGAGTCCTCTGTTCTGTTTCTTTCAGATTTATAAGGCCAACCCTCTGGAATATGTCAACTAACATAAACTTTAGGGAAACAAGAACAACTTATGACTCAGCTAAGAATGGCTTCATCCATTTTAAACATCTCCTCACACAAAACGAAAATCTACAGCTTAATTCCATATCCACTGCCCTATCTTAACCCCAATGAAGTGCAATCTATCAGAACTCCACCCTCATTTATGGAGGTGATCCATCAGCCTTGCATTTTTCCCCCCTCTGAGCATGTTCTCAGGCAATGACAGGCGAGAAATTCTGTACAGTTCTGGCTTGCCATGAGCAAGGTAAAGAACTGCTACATGATGCCTGAATGCAAACCAAAGAGGGGGGAAAAAACCCCAGAGGCACCACTATCTTCTGTCCACAGTTTGCTTACCACAATATCTAAATCTAGCAATCTGGCTTGTCTTCAAAGCAAGAAAGAATTTACTTTTTGGACCCAAACTCCCAATGACAAGGCTGGCTGTAGTCCAAAACAAGCACCTGCTCCAAACTCTGTTCGTCTTTCTTCCAACAAGCAGCCAATTAGCTCTAGAACACCATGGGTTATGTCTCTGGCTCGAAGCCCTGACTTATTTACACAGGGAGAACAGTATTTATTTATTTAAAATATTTTTACCCCACTGTTCTCCTTAAAAAGGACTCACAGTGACTTACATCATTGAATGACAATATTTAAAATCTAAAAACAGTAAGTATAAAAATACTTTAAAAAGATCAAACAAATAGCACACTGAAAAATAGTAAACAAACGCAGCACCAAAAACACATTCAAAGCAGTAAGGCACAACCACCCATTTTAAGGCAGCCAGTCACTAAGAGAAAGCTTGCCTGAAGAGTTATCAGGGACAATGTTGCTAATCCCTCCCATGAATTCACACACAGCACTCACACATGTACTGCTTGTCACAGAGATGGGAAAGGCTATGTTGTTTGGGGTAGAGACTACAGCTCTCAGAATACTAGCATGTGGAATTCTCTGAATTATTGTCCAAAAAAAATATTTTCCCAGCTCTGATTTTGTTACGATTTCCAAGGTCTTGTTCAAAATGGTGTTCAACCTTTTCATAGACTTGTGAATAATCAGCAATTATTTCATTTTACTGATGCCAGATATTCTGGTTACTGCCTCCTGCAATAGAAGTCATTGTGTTGTCACATCAATTACAAAGGAACAGAACAAGCAAAAGTGTTGTCTGGCTTGTACCATAAGTAGCTGCTAACCAAGAAATCATAGTTTCAAAAGCAAGTTAATATTCTCACTAGCAGATCACTGATAGCCACTTCTACTTTGGTTAATGCCCAATGGATTGCCAAAGGGAAGCATGTGGAATATTCTGCCATAAATCCAGCCTCCGTAGGACACAGTATTTCATTCTTTTCCTAGCTATCTGTATTCTCAGCAGCAGCAGTACAACTTTTGTAATTGCTGAAGTTATGGCTTCAATATCCTGCAAAATGCCAGTCATTAAGAATTAAAACTCCTAATTCATTCAGAAGATGCTGCATATATCACCCACTAATGTCACAAGATTTGCCAAAAAACAACAACCCAGTTTGCAGATGCCAACAGCTTCAATTGAAGATTTTACTTCTGGAGCTGAGGATAAATGAACAGCTGACAAAAAATTCAGCTCACTTGCAGTAGAAAACCCGACCCAGTTCAACATAGCTTATTAACCAATTAACCGAACAACACCTGAATTTAGCATCTAGGTATTTCCAAGCTACTCCTGCCGCTTTTATGTATAGAAGCGCATATACTGCAGCAATTGTTTTATGTAAATAACCTTATCAATGTAAAATAAACAACCTAATTGATTGAGAATTCAAATAACCTTAAAAATGTAGCTTACAATAATGCATATGGTCTTTTAAAAAAAAACCACTGATCCGTTATAATGCAATCAGATAATGGCATGGGTGTGGGAAGGTATATATTTGGCAGCCTCTGAACAGCTGGGTGAAAAATTCCAACCACAATATTAGTAGGGGTGAAGCATTAAACCATACACTCCAAAGGCTCGTTGTAGCCAGCTTTGAACACAAGTTAGGAAGCATGCCTGGCAGACTTTTGCTATGAATTTTTGGGGCTTTCATTTATAATTTTTCTGCACTCTCCACATGATACTGCTGTATAGTTCAGTGGTTTAAATAAGAAGCTGGGTGGTTGATTCCCCACTGTGCCTCCCTGACCAGGGCTCCATTTGATGATTCATAGGATCCTGTCCAGCTCTACAGTTCTAAAACTATAAATTATTATATATTGGTAGATGTCCTGAAAAAGTGGATTTGACACACAAAAGCTCACATTGATTTTTTTGGTGGGGTTTTTTAGTGGTCTAATAAAATATCATCTTCTCCTGAATTTGTATTGTGTACAGACCAGATTACTTTCTTTGGGTTTTTTTTTCCTGGAAGAGACGATGGAAGGTTACAGTTACATTACCAAGGCTATAGAAAAAGTCTATGTGTGCTCTAGGACTTGAATTCCAAGTTGTCAGAGATGAACATAATACTTCATCTTCCAGTTCTAGAAATGCAGGAAGTGTGCAGATTTGATTTATTTAAAGCATTTCACCTATAAAAATAATCCTCTAAAATAAGAGATGTAGCACCAATAAAATAGCATTATAAATGACACTACCTTTGCTGTCAAAAGCATACGGATGTTAAAATAAAAATATTATAACTTGCCTTCAGAAGCATAACAGGGAAAGAGCACAAAAGCATCTGGAGTAAATCAGTAAGTTTACCTTTGTAGGCATCGCCTGATGCCTGATCTATCTCGTACAGGTCTGCCACGCAGCTCCTTGGGAGTTACCCTGAACAGGGCACAACCTCTAGAAATAGATTTATGTACTTTAGTTCCTGGTACTTCCATAGGCTGGGTAGCTAATGTGATTCCTGTCACATAAGAAGATACCATAAATCTGTATCTACAGACAATTTTGGTAATTTCCCATTTATTTAGAAGTACCTACTAGACCTTTGAAACTGTACTTCTGGGGACTACAACTGGCCATGCCAACAAAGTGGCCATGGGTGTTGCAGCCATAGATGACTCTATCCAAGCACACGAGGCAATTGATTCACAGTTCCATTGTCTCTATTGCTCTTCAGAGCTGCTAGAGTCCCCTTCAAGAATGCTTTGCACTGATGGGTCTTAGAGCAAAGACACAATAGAAAGAGTGACCTGAAAAATAGCTTCTGTTATGTGACAGGCAATTTCCTCAGACAACCGTCCCATTGTGTCTTCATTTCAAGGACCCCTTGAAGAAAAGCATTCTAAAAAAACAGATTGCAGGAACCCAATGTTCAGTGGCTTCCTCTTGTCCTTCTGGGTGCTCATCATGCCCCTGCTGCAGCTGCTGCCATCTCCTCCTCCCTCTTCCATCTGTATTGCCAGGAAAGGAACCAGGGGCATCACTAATGCTGTCCCACCATCCCTGCCATTGCAGGTTGTATATACCGTTGTGCACCCTCCAGTGATGTAGAACAGCAGCAGGGTGATGACATCTGGGAGTGATGCCAGCTTTCTGGCTTGAACAATGGAAGAGTTCCACTCAGACCACACGCCAGCTCCACAGAGTAACATTTCTAAGCTCCTGCAGCTACTGCTTAGACGATAAATACATGAAAGGAAAATGAATAGACAAAGGGACAAACTTACTGTGATGGCATAAGGAAAGAGTTAAATACCCTCAATCTCAGCTGTAGTCAAGTGGCCTCTGGCCTGTCCTTGGAGAACCAGGAAAAGGAGTTCACTTACTCAAAATAGCCAACAGAACTGGCTAAGAGACGGAGCTCAGGCGAACTGGCAGCCAATCAAGAAAGAAGGGTAGCAATAAACAGAGAGAGTCGGATAAAGAACAGCTTCCTCCAGAAGAAGATAGAAGCTCAGCAAGGAAAACATAAAACTCCAGACTCTCTGAGAAAGAAAGGATTACATCTGTATTGGCCTGAGAGTCAGCCAGTGTCACAGCAAAGAGGTTTGCTTTCTGGTGGAGTGTGAATCTAACAATTGTCTAATCCCACCCCTTCATCCTATGGGATCCCTTGGACTGCAGGGTTCTGAGCTTTGCTACATGAACTTTTTTTTCTTGCTATTGTTACAGACAATTCAGTTACTTCTGCCACATGGAGACCCTAATAAGGTTCTGGAGATACATAAGATACACAAGAACTCCCCAGTAAGTTTCCACAGCTAAGTAGAGATTTGAACTCAGATTTTCCAAGTCCTAGTTCAGCACTCTATTTACTACAAGTGGTTCCCAACCTTGGGTCTCCAGCTGCTCTTGGACTAAAGCTTCCAGTAACCTTCACCACTAGCTGTGCTGGCCAGGATTTCTGAAAGCTGTAGTCCAAGAACATCTGGGTATCCAAGGTTGGGAGCCACAGTACTACACCACACTGTCTTCACAGTACTGAAACGCAGAACTTTTTAGATCTATTTTATATCTTTCCAGAAGGAGGAACTTTTAGTTAGCTGTTCTCAAGGGCTGCAACTAGAAGGCTGAATATTGCTTTTACTGCTGCAGGTTTCTTTGAAATACAAGGCTACACCCTGGTGCTTGGTTTCTTTCAATTAAAGGTTAAGACCTAGGCAAAGCCCATAAGTAACAGCAATCTGCCTGCACACATCCCTTGCAGCTGGGACAGAGTCCAGTAGAAAGACACCCTTGCCTTGATACCACCCACTAAATTTTCCACACCACACCAAGGAGAAGTTTGAGTACATAACACAGAAACATAAGTTAACTGTATTGTTTGAAAAGAACAAGTGTAGCCTTTTAAATACATTTTAAAACAAATAAATCTAATTTGTCTGGCAAGAAATAACTGTATTTGAACTCCTTGCTTGAGCCAGTACACCAACAATAGTTGAACAATTCCCTTCTAAGAGTATATCTGAAAGAACATCAACAGCAAGATTTTAACCACAGACACATCCAGCTTTTCTTCCTTTCTAATGTTTGTATATTTTCAAAAGTCAAATGCACGTCCTCCAGGATCTAGGATCAGCATTCTTAAAATATGAGCTACATTCTTTCCATGAGGAGTTCACCTTCTCTGCTCTTCAGCACAGTAATACTGCTCTCAAGTGTTTACTTTTTTCAAGTAAAAGTGTGTTAAGCAGAGAGACATACACTAATGCAAAATAAATACCATATTTTTCCATGTATAATATGCCCCATGTATAAGATGCCACCCACTTTTCTAATCCAAAATTAATCCAAAGCGCTGCAGGATCGCTTTGATCCCTGCTTTCCCCTCCACTTGTTTTCGTTCTCTCCTCAGCTTACTTCCATGTATAAGACGACTCTCAATTTTTAGTCTAAAGATTTTAGATAAAAGTATAGTCTTAGACACAGAAAAATACGGTAAATAAATAAATCACTGGATAATATTAATAATGACGAGGAAGAAACAGTATAAGATTGAAGGACCACTGGGTCCTTAGTTCACAAATAAGAGACACACACGAAGATGGCCAAGAAGCTCAGGGGACAGTGAGACACTGGTGTCTCACACTAAATCTTATTAGAGACATGAAATATAAAATAGAAGATATTTTAAGAAATAGAAACTATTTTTCTATGGCACTGGACTAGTCTACCATTTTTATATTTGGGTCTGTGTTTGGGCTGCATGTATGCCATTACCTAAATAATACCTATTATTATAAAGAAATATGGTTAGATACCATTAGAATAGCCATGCAAATACAATTTCATTTGCTAGTCTGCCTCCCAAACTACCTGGCAGCTGAGGGGTACCAGAGGGCTGAACATTCCTTTTCCGGGTGTGTGGTGCAGAGGAAACAGCTTTTCTTCTCCAGGACAGAGTGTTCCAGGGCTCCACCATCAGTCTGTGCACTCACCTGCAAAGACTTGCATCTACTCACTTGCATGCAGTTTCTGGTCATTGGTGGCTATCAAGCTAGTGGTTTAGCATAAGACTTTGGCAAAACATTAAGAAGTGGATCTCATGCTGGAGATTCAAGCTTAAGGTGGGTCTCAGATCAGACCTTGAAAACTATGTTCAAATAAGTAATTACTCTGGATCCATATTGTATCTATATTTAAACATGTTACTACATCAAAAGCAAGCTGCCACTTCTACTCATGTTTAAGTTATTGTGCATAAAATGAATTAACATACAGCTCTGACTTGCTATGAGTCCTCTAAAGCTTGGAATGTGTAAATTAGCACTGACCTGCCCAGATACATTGAGAAGTCTGTTGGCAGTTCACACTATGTTTACTTAGGCACACACAGACAGGAATTGGCATCTATGTCTGCAAAAACACAGTCTCAAAATCGGCTCCTGAGATGTTTAAAGGGAAGATATCCTGGAATTCCCTAAAGGCTGACAACTGAAATCTCATCAAAGATGCATTCAGAAAGTAATGTTTAAATGGTTCTTTTTAAAATTCCTGGTGCCTTCACCAGTTCTCTCATTTGCTGCAGTTTATTTGCTGTTTTTTTTTTAAAAAATACAAATATAAATATACTTTCATAAAATAGTACAAATATTTCTGCAACACCAGTGAAGCACCAGTTAAGAATATCCCCTGGGAAGGTCATCCACATTTGATTACCTTTTCTGGTCCCACTTCACTCACCCACTCTGTGCCAAATGAATGATTTGAGAAAAATCAAGTTAAGGTTGAGAACAAAACAGCGTTTTAAGGTCAAGTATCTAAAGTAGGCAGGGCAACTCCCGCCAGCCTAGTTGATGGTATGGAATTACGGAAGCTGGAATTCAAAAACATCTGAAGACGCACATTTACCCACCATGAAAGGCAAATAATGAGCCACTGCCTTCTTAATATTCCCTTCAATGCAAGGACAGAACAACATTCGATATCCCAGAAAGTGAAATTATGAATTCTCTAAATTCCAGTTTGCTAGTATCCAAAGCTATAGATTGTTTCTCTAGCTCGGGACGCACAGCTTAGGCAAATTAAATTTTGTTTTAAAACATCTCTCGCTCCTTAATCTTGTATGCATAGCATGTGGGAAGCACATTCATGTTGCCCAGGGAAACTGCCTTGTTTGAACAATTTGGCTGGCTGGCTTTTTTTAACAATGGGACCAATGGCTTGGGGCCAGGATACTGGGACTTTCACATCCATAGAAGACTCCTTTAGAGTTGCAGAGGGATGGAACTGCAAGGCAAACACCCAAATCAAGGGCTGAGAGTTTATGAGTGAGTATGTTTGAGCTGGGCATGTGGATACTTAAGATAGCTAAAGGTCAGCTAAAATTTATCCAATCATGTGAAGGTCTTTTGTGATCATTACTGTTCAGCCCAATGTGATTTTAAAGGCTTTTTCATTCAACACCATTGTTCAGCCAAATTTTCCTGGCATCCCTATGCTCTGGTTCAGCACAGGATTCCATCTGCAAAGTTTTGCACGAAAGTATCTAAATCACTGATACCTTTGGTGTTCCCTCTCATCTCCTCCATACCCAGGCTACCCAAATAAACAAACAAACTGGACAAAGTGAATGAGGGCTTGCCTTGCCAAAGGGTAACTGAGCAGGACCCACAACAATGATCATTACACATGGGTTCCACAAGGCAAGAACAACTAATGTTAAAAGGACTGGAAGGAGGAACAGGAAGGCAAAGAGATTTTAAAGGTCCAGAAGCTCAGAATCACATGGAATCTCAGCTGGTCTCACTCGCCCTCCCATTAGACCATTCAGGGTTAACAGCATTTTAAAGTCAAGGCCATTATCATCATCCTGCCAATAACAACAAAGCCTTGAAATGGAACAATTCTCATGGTGGCTATAGCAAAGTCATCCATGAGCTTGCATTCAGCTAAGGTGGGGAATACCACCAGAAACAGGATGAGCTACTCAGATGCTGTTAAATGGGCTAGGAATGTAGGAAGCTGTTTCATGCTGAGTCAGAACCTTGGTTTGTTTAACACATTAATGAGTTATGGTGGACAAATCTAAATCAAAACAATTCAAATTTTTATTCTAATCAGCAACTGGGAAAGAGTAATTGACTACTACTGATTTACATTAGGTTTCCCACTACTTGATACATTTTCTAAACAACTCTGCAAATATGAGTGCCAAAACAGACTCATTTACAATAAAACATTGTTACCGTTTTTTTCATTTTTACTACCAAGCATGGCATCTCTCTCTTGGAATGTTTACAGTAGGCACACTTTCCTGTTTCACCCATACAGCAAGGATAGGGATACTCTGACCTTGATGATACTGTTTTGAGTGCAACGTAGGCAGCACAAAAACAGTGGAGGATAATGGGCTTGTAGTCCAACAAGAAGGAGCCCACATTTTCTCCAGCCCTTCTATAGAGGGAGTATCTTTAAATTATTACTATAGAGGGGGAAAAAAACTCTTACATCAATTTGTGACTTAAACTACAGAACCATGAACACAAGTCTATTTTGTCTTCTTGCTCAGCTCTACTCTTGCAAAAATAAAGTAGTAATAAAAATGCAATGTTCACTGAGAGACAGGTCAGACTAGAGTATTTCATTTTCACTAACTAAATATAAAATGGTTATGTTTGGCTAGTAAAGAATAAATAATCATGCTTGAAAAATGATGAAGTTGGTTCATCATTATAAATAAGAGCTCGATGTGTCCCATTTAGTTCAGAGGTTAACCACAGGGTTAAAATGTCATTATCTGCATTCTTTTATTTTAGCCTATTTATTCTTTAATACTGTCTTATCCCAATATCCATTAAGATCTATTTTTGTGTGCTCCATATCAAGAGGCCAGGTAAAGCTCTTATTAGCAAAAGATCATTTCAGCAAAAAAGAAAAAGAAACCAGAAAAATCAGAAACAAACAGAAAAAAGATCAAAGCGGTGTCAGGCAGATACAAACTTCATTCTCTCTTAATGATTGTGGGGGGAGGACTGTCTGATTTGAAACAAAGAACAGAGAGTTGATGTGCTTTCTTCCCTTTTCAACACCATCAAAATGGCCCTCTAAAATGTTCCCATTCGTGTCAATTAGGATATTTGATCTAAACGCTGAGGCCATGCCAAGCAGGTGGTTAATGGGAAGGAAATACTTCCCCTTTCCTGGGCAATGGAATTCAAGTAAGACTACCTACACCCACACCCCCAATGACAACAATCTTCAGTTTGGGCGAATGCTCTATATAACAATCTGTAGCATGGCTTTTTCAGTTATGGCACCTTGCCTTTGCCACTCCCTGGCCATGAAAATATATCACGCACCTGCCCTTCTGGTGTTTCACCAATAGTCATGACATTCTGAAAAGTAATGTCCAGATTTCTATGATATTTCATTTCACTAATCATGGTTGAGACATGTAAGACTGAGAGCCAATATGGTGCCATGTTTGGAGTCTCATCAAGGACCAGAAAACCATGGGTTCAAATGTGCCCTTAAACCCAGTGGGTGATCTTGAGCCTCTAATCTGTCTCGTGCATACCTGCCGCACAAGGTTGTTGCAAGGACAACCTTAGACCATTGACACTGCCCTCAGATTTTCAATCAGATGTTTCACAGTTTACAGGTCACCCTCTGTGACAATATGTTAATCCTGTTCACATTTCAAAAGAGCTGCAAGCTCCAACTTATTACAAGAATTGTGCACTGTTTCAGCTAACCTCTTGAGTGGCACAGTGCTCTTTACTCATGTGCCAAACATTCAGTGGTTTGGTCCAAGCCACGCGGACAGAGAGATAATTCAGGATATTGCAAAACAAGGAATTCGTACGCTGCCGTCAAGATGACTGGGAATAGATCACTGCTATCAGACTCTTTGATCATTTGTTTAAAAAAGGAAAGCAAACTATGTTTGTATTTCATCTGTCCCTATCTTGCCTGAACATTCATGGCCTTAAACCAATGGGCAAAATTGCTTTGGAATGCTAAGTATTCCCCCCCACAATACTGGAAAAGTAAATTTGGAAAGAACACATAATGCTCTCTATCTATTTCTAGGGGTTGTATAGATAAAACCCGGAGCCAGGGGACAAAAACATTCAGATGTTACAACAGATCAGCAATAGCCTATCTATTTGGGGCGATGGGGGAGGGAATATGTTGCAGGTCCAGATCCTACTGTAACTCAAGAGTCTGTAGAGTGAGCTGCAGGATAAATATTACTGCAACTACCACAGGTGGTTTTGACTCCAGTCCAAGCTTAACCAACTTATGATTCTGAGCTAAATGCAGCCCGAAATCCGTGAACAGCACCAGCTGCGCCCCATGGAGTTTATAAACATCCTAGTTTTGTTGTCTGCAAGACTGCCATAGGAGTTGCCAAATCAAAATAATCTTATCTTAATCTTAGAACTGCAGAGCTGGAAGTGACCCTATGGATTGTCAAGTTCAGCCTCTGCCAAGAAGGCACAACACGGAATCGGATTCCCAACTTCTGGCTGGATTGTCATGCAATCATGCAATCCATACTGGAAGACCAGGTTCAGCTGGGAATGTCACAAGCTGCACAAAGTGCTCTACTGTATGCAGGGAACAACCTGCAGAGCAGTACTAGAGAGGAAGACAGCAATTCCACACCTTTTGCCAGGGCCATTCATGAAGTCCTGGTGCCTAAGCCAGGCAACAACCAGAGAATAACGTACAGTAGTTGCTTTTTGGGGCTGTCTGGTAGCTATGATGGCTACGGATTCTGAGACTTGCAGCCCCAAACAGTAACTTTTACAAGCTGCCACCAATGCAGCAGCTGACTAATCAAACATCAGAAACAGGGAAATAAATAAATTAGAGAAATGAATTAGTACCTGGTAGCAACAGCTGGCCCTATAAAAGTTACCTACACATTCCTTAGGGGGAGATCTTCATTTAAAGTACCTGG